AAATTAGGGAAGGTTTCTGGTGTCCCATTTCTTCCCCCGCACGCCTCAAAGGACCTTCCCGCAGCAGATGAACGCAGCTTAAGTTCAAGCACACCATTTCTGATCAGGAATGCAACACCCGGCGCCTCCTCCTTGAACACCACCCATCTTCCCACAGCCTCTTCATTTTAATATCGTTAAATGGACTACTGTAGACAACCTTAATTACTGCAGTATTTGCAAGGGGAGAAGCGATCTCTCGGTAACCAGTTTCTGTCCTGCTCAGAGCTTTGGAGATCCAACCTTGTTTCATACCAAACCGGGAAGTGAAACGGCATCAGGAGGTCCAGGACCAGAGCAGAGCGCTTCAGCGTAAACAGCAGGCACCGAGGGCTGAGCGGGCACAAACTGTGTCCTGGCTGCCACCCCGCTGTCACTGGGTCCCTACAGCTTCCCCCGCGCTCCTCTTTCTTCAGAAGGCGGCTCAGAAAATAGACTTTAATTAACAAAATTATCACTATCACAGGGAAGAACAGAAAGCTCCCAATAACGAGCCATTCAGCTCCAAACGGTTTCGGATGGCCAGCAGACGTGCAAAACCAACTCACGGATGATGTCTTAACAGTCACCAACACAACAAGCAAAGCCAACTGAAAAACAAGCAGTGAAGACCCTAAATTTGTCACAACAGAAAGGCAGCTTGACATAAATTCCCATAAATGCAGGCTGTTCCTTGCAAATAACAGCACATTACTGCCGAGGCCAGAGAGCAAACAGTCACCTCTTCATCCACCATCCAGAATAAGCCGCAGGTCATGCTCTTTCCAGACCGTAACAGGCAAAGCCGATGGCCACCACATTGCCTCTACTACAGGTCCCAGCCCCTCTACTACAGGTCCCAGCCCAAGACCAACCAAGGAGGCTGCCCCAAGTCAGATGTAGTCAGGAGCTGCAGTTTCTCGTTCCCTCCACAACTCCCTCCTTCTACCAGCAGTGGTACTTGCACAACCACACCGTGAGTCAGAGCAAGAAGAGATCAGGTTGAAAACTACGTCTATATTTTTGGGACTAGCTCAGCTTTCAGCTAGCTAAGCTCCCCGAGTCACCTCAGCATCTAAGAACACAAGTATCGGCGCAAGGGGGACGCCGGGCTGTGAGACCGCGTTTAGTGACCGTGGAACCACAGCTGAAGCTCTGGCCGCTGGAGCTCGCGCCGCCTCTCGCTACTCTAGCAGGCAACACAACCGTGTCACGTAAACGGAAGGAAACGGGGGGCGATCCAGATTGCAATGGATCACCAAAGGTCACTGCCACAACCCCCTGCTCCAAACCGGGCTAGCTTCAAAGTCAGACCAGGTCACTCAAGACCTTGCCCAGGCAAGTTCTACGTATGACAGAGACTCCAAAAGGTCCCGGGCAGCCTGTTCCAGCGCTTAACCACTCCCACGGGAACAGTCCGCCCTTGCCTGGACTGGAATGTCCCTCGCTGCCCCTTGTCTCATGGCCTCCTGGCCCCTCAGCGTGGCAGGCTGCAGGACACAGGCAGGGTCAGTCGCTTGGTGACGCATCCGTGGATGCCGAGGGAAAACCAAACTCGGCCCCCGAGGTTTAAGAACCCACCTCGCTCACCCACGAACAGCTTTTGTCAAACATTCTCAATTTCCTTTGCTTCCAACACTGTGAGCTAAACTGATCTTACCAGGCATGAAACATCCACTTTATGCATCATACACCACATACCGTTTGAAAAAAAAAATTATTTTTGCACGTGGAAGACACTGCCTACAGAACCTTAAGTTACCCACCCTGCCCTCAGGACTGTCACCCCACAAACCCACTCTTGACCTTGGAGGATGCTTTTTCACAGCCTGCTCTGACACCCGAGGAAAAGCAAATCAACTCCGAGCACACTCAGCTGGACCCTCAGAGCTTATGTGAAAGCCATTTAATCTTGTAGTTGCTTTCAATCCTGGTGACACTCCATGAAACACAACTTAAACATCATTTTTACATGCTATAATCAGGTTTCTCCTAAAAATCTTACATTTCCGGAACAAACGGTGTGCTGAACGCCAGCTCCGCTAGCTAAACAGCAACCTTAAAAAGCACAGAATTTGTGTTTTTAAAAACCTCAAAGGTACGGCTAGGAAAACCAGCATTTACTCTCAAATCCTGTCTATTTTATAAATCAAAAGAAACCATGCATTCTGGAGAGCTTGTTTACGGATACATCAAGAAACCTTAAGGAGAAAGTTGGACTGGATGATCATTGTAGATCCCTCCCAACTGAAATGTTCTATCCTGAAAGAAAAAAAAACTAGATGCATCCAAGGAATCTGTGGTACTTTTGATATAGGACTGTTCTCCAGAGACTCAGTCGGGAGGAACATCTGGCCAAACTTCAGCCTGTTTGTGTAACGTCACACGTGGAGTTCAAACCCTTCATTTATTTTCTGCTCCCTGCGTGACCCATCCCTAAAGGTGCAAACTCCCTGCCGAGGCGGCTCCATCCCGGCAGCTGGGACCTCCCCGGAGCCCATGGGGATGGCAAAATGCAGGCAGTAAAGGCAGAGAGTGGGGGGCACTTTGGGGCAGAACCGATCATCGAGCTAAGACCAGGGCACAACCACCTCACGCCAAGTCACTTCAAACACAGGCTTGTCTCAAACGCACATCTAAACTACATTTGGGTTGGGCTATCAAAGAATATTTAAATAAGTCATCATGCCTGCAATAACCTTCCTGGGTGGTACAGGACTTCTAGCGAAGAAAGCCAAAAGCAACACTGAGATACGGATTTAACGTCCTATGGCTGGATACTATTCTTTCAACGTGTAATTTGCAAGTACATATGCAGGCTAATCAAAGGTTATTTCTATTTCAATACATTTGTATAAAAACTGTACCCACAGATACCTCACAGTAGATAATTCTTTTTTAATATCCTTCTTACTCAGAAGCTATTAATGAAAGTATATCCTCTTCACACTTATTTTCATCCTTTCTCTTCTGGTATATTATATCAACAGTTCTTCATTTAACCAACACAGATTTTTATTCATTCTAATATTAGTGTTGGAGACACTAAACTGAATCAGTTCAGACTCCTACTCGGTTCGTGCTTCCAAGTGTTCTTGAATGCTCAACAATAAAAATTCAACAATAGGAAAGCAAAGGAGTTAAATTTATGACTTGCCTAGAGCTCTAATCTTATTGTACAACTGCCGAGGATGAATAACCTACCACTACTTCTAACTGTGTGGCTTTAAAAAATAAAAATCAACCATTCTGGGACGTCTTTTACCCATACAAATGGCACCTCTCTGCCTGGACCGCCTAATGCAATCTCTCACTTGGGTATGTCGGATTGAAATAAGTTCCTCTTCACAACTTTACGCTCTATTTAACCATTTCTATTAACCGAAATACACTGAACTTGGTTATATTTGCATCACTAGCAGTGGAAAGCACACTGTATTCCCAGTCTGCTGGAGAACAGCCACGAGCCACTACCACTGCAGTCTCCTTCCAACCTGTGCTTTATGAGCAAAAAGCCAGGTCCTCCTTCACCCTCTCCGTCCTCACTGCTGCTAGGATGTGATCCAAGGAGAAACCTGCTTGAGAGGTGAACTTGTTAGGGCAGTAATTTATATCCAGAGAGCAGCCTAGGAGCCCAAATAATCTCAAATCCTGGCTGCCACCAGTCTTCAGTCCTGCAGTGAATAAAACGAAACACCGCACACAAGTTTTCGCATCTGAACGAGACAGACCGGATCAAACAAGGCTGCTCAGCAAGATTAACTTTGCTTTCCAACTTCCCAACATCCTGACTGATCTCAGCCATCAGGTGTCATGTGTGCAGGATCAGAAGCTTTTGCAAAGCGCAAACACAAATGCTTAAGTGAAAATTTGACCCTGGGATTTATGAGCACCCCTTTAAGAAGATGCTGTCATTAAAATTCTGTTTAATTTCCTATTAGCTATTCAATAAAAGAATACGAGCAAATCAATAACTACTTCAGAGCTCAGCATAAAATGAATTCAGGCTGTACTCTAACCACCACCCCCACTATCTCCTCTGCAAAAAAAAAACCCAAAAACAAAAACAAAAACACCCCACCCAAACCAAAACTCACCCCAAAACAAGGCCCCCCCCAAAAAAAAATCCAAACACAACCCCAGGACTTGACCAAGTTTTAGAAGTTCAGCCTCTCTTGAATCCGATTCTGCAGAATCAAACACACAAAGCTACCAAGTGCTTGATGTTTAACCTTCACCTGGCTCAGCAGAAATGAAAGGAAAATGATAAAATAGGAAATCTCCCATATTATCCTAAAAAAAAAAAAAAGTTTTGCTCAGGCTGC